ATTTAGAGAAGAAAATCCTTGAACCCCTGACCATGTATGATTATCTTTTTGTCCCTCCGGGGTCTTATGAATTTAACAATTATAATTTCAGCTACATTTTAACTTTTTCAAGATATAATGTAGCTGATATTGCTCAATATAACTCCGATCTCGATTTCTAAACCAATCCTAAAATAGTACTTGAGTCTAATGAACCCGTTAGTCAGGATAAAGAAGATGTCGACAACATTGTTCATGTAGCAACAAGAGTGAGGAACCAGTCCTTGAATGCCACGCTGCACCACTAGCTATCAGCTTGGATCTCTCCGATGAAGAAGAAGAGACACAAAAAATTTTTCCTACAACATCTCAGAAAGAAGAAATCACCAAAATAAACCTAAGGAGTGGAATGGTATTACCCCTGAGAATAGCTCTAGCGGACAAATGAAAGAAAAAAGTAACTCAAGAAGAGCTACCTCCACCTCCACCATTGAAAGAGCCACATAACCAAGTGAAAATTGCAGGATTATATAAAGTATATTAGTAGACATGTTTTGCTGCTGATGATGGTCGTTTTGCCCGCAATGCTAGCTCCAAGCTTCTCATCGCGATGAGTTTAAGTTTTCTAATGCGTCAAGTCTTGATGTCAAATAATTTTTTTCCTAAGGTCATGCTTAGTTAAATATTATGGGGAATATTAAATTTGATTAAAGCAACACTGGTTATGATCCTATGATTCCCTCGTTTTGGCGCCACTATTTTCTTTCAGATTCACTTAGTCCAAATGAATTTACTAAACCCAACTTAATGAGTTCCATACTTTCATTTAAACTATGGTAAATCTTATAGGCAACCGCACGTTTCCTCCTCCAACGGATTCCCGATCATCCGATTGAGACGTTTTAATTTAGTTACAATTTTTTGTTTTGTTGTTTAGTTTGAGATTAAATTTTGAGTTGACTTATATTTTGACTGTTATGGCAGTGATATTTATCTCGTTTAATTTTTAGTTTTGATTTTGGTTTCAGTTGCTATCCTATGAGTTTTAATTTGACATGCAGGGTGACTTTTTTATTTAACATGCAAGTTATTAGGTTGGAAATGAGAGGTATAGAAAGGTAAATAAAATTAAATTGCAATGCAATAACTTAAAAGCGTACCAGTCAATTTTTCTCGCTCCCTCACCTGAATGGTCAGTACTTGCGACATGTATATAATTTTTGCAAGAAATTTAAATTACAGGAGTAGATAAAGGTATAGCTACCAAACCCCAAGCTATGACTTTGTTAAGTCTAAGAAGATCTTAGAGAATGATTTTAGAACAAAATATGACAAGTTCAATTTTTATTTCAAAATATTCAAGAAATTTCAAAGTGCTCGGTGCATGACCCTGAACCACTTTGAAGATTGCATGAAATATTTTGAGCTCATTTTGAACATATCATATCATTTTATTAATCATCCAAGGTTAAGCTAAGGTTATCCCATTGCGAAAGGAAACTTGATGTTTTATTTATTCCAAAGCTAGGACACTCAATTAATCAATCGATATTTCATTTAAGAGTTATGTAGGTGGGTGCCCCTAAGGCAAATTTAAGTAAGTAAAAGTTTTTTTTTTTGTTTTCGAAGTTAAAATCAAACTTGAAGTGTAAAAAGATGTTAATCATCAATAATGTTATCTTTTAAATCTGATCAAATGAGTTTAAATGTCAAGCCTAGGTCACTACCAAGCACTGAACAATCACAATAGGTGAAATGGTAACTAGTAGAATTTTAATTTAAATGACATGCATTGTTATTGAAAGATAATATTTTCATCAATTATGGGCTTAAAATTAATGGAATATTATCTTCCTAACTTCAACCCGTCACTTGAGAAACATTTATTTTTGATTGACTTCTAGGTCATGATAATTATGGAAATTACAATTTTGTTATTATGAAAAGGTGGCTAGTGAGCTCCTACCTTTTAATCCCATTGTATTTCAACCATCCAAACATATTAGGATCAAGGTTACTCATTTTTCCTTTGTTTAATCCTAAATTTTGATTTAAGGCACGCAAATCTAAAGTTATCATTTTGCCTTTGGGGCCCTTCACCACATAACTCATTAATCAAAATTCAAATGACTTTGAGAATTTAGAGTGTCATATCCATGGGTCAATTAAAACATTGTAGGAGAAAATGTGGGTTTTCAAAATTTAATTTAATTTAAATTATTATTTAAATTTAGAAAGTAGTATTTTCAAAATTGATTTGATTAACTATTCAAAATAAAGTTTTTATTCATGATAAAATTATTAGAGGTCCCCTTAGGTCAGAGAAACACTTAAACAAAATTCCATGACTTTTTTTGAAATAAATCTCTATCATCATTAGTTAGTTATGAATCAATTTTATTGATTTAATTAAATGTAAAATAATATTTTAATTACAAAAACTATCTTTATAATTTTATTAAACCTCTCTGAATTTAGAGAAATTTTTTTTTACAAATTTTGTAATTTTTTTTATTTTTTAATTTTTTAATCTATTTATTATAATTATTTTAATGGGAAAAATAAAGAAAACTTCTTATTTAAGCTCTTAAAAATTTATTTTAAACTTAGAAAAATTAGGAAAAATATCTAAAGAGTTCTAAGTGACAGACACGTTTTGAATTTTTTTGGTATTTTTAGGCTTTTTATTTTTTTTAATTATTTTAAATTTAAAATAAAGCTAAAAAATCAAGTATTTTCTCAAAAATAAATTTTATTTTTCCTAAGTGCCCTTGATCAAAAGGAACTTAGAAAAACACTTTTCATAATTTTACCAAATGTATTCAATCTAATATAATTATATTTGTACAAAAATACAAGGTTTCTTAGAAAATCAACTTTAGTGCTCAAACTTAGTCAAATAATTTTTTAATTTTTACAATGGGTTAACATGATTTTTATACACAGTGTGGAATTGATTTTGTCAAATTTTTATTAGTATTTAATTTATTCAAATTAAAGTAAGATATATACACTTAAAAATTATAGAAATTTACAAAATACATCAAATCATCATAACATTTTTCTTAAGCTTCTCTGACCATAGGAAATCTACTAAAATTATTCCCATAATTTTCCAAGTGGCATTTTAATTTAAACAATTAGAAAAGTCAAATTAGCCATCCTAGTTTGAAAATTAAGGTTAGAAGTATAGAGATGTCCTATGAAGTTGAAAAAATTAGAGGGCATAACCTCTATCATAAGGAATAAACCCTCAAAATTTCAAGGCATGGAAAGCAATGCTTGATCATAATGGATTAAAATTCTCCAAAGAGTATTTAATTCATTAAAAATCAAAGAGTCATCAAATAATTTTTAATTATAGCCCACATTATTCTTCTTTGTTCATTGAGCAGGATGGTATTTTTATTTTATTTTTAAGATTTTTCTATAGAAAGATATAAATTTTTGAAGTTCAGGCATTAAAATTTATTTAGAAAATCCATATTTTTGTACTTAAACAAGTGGCGCTGACTGGATCATAGATAGCTTCAAAAGATAATCCCAATTATTTTTTATATGTAAGGATTTATGAATGTGACACCACTACTTGAAGATTTTAATCCCTAACAACGCGCCAAAAACTAGATCCTAAGCAAAGTAAAATTCCAATTATATTTTTAAATAATAAGGATTCTACGCAAGTATACGTATCATTATCAAGTAATATAGGGCTTTT